CAGCTGCCTTGCTGTGAGCATGGAGATAACAGTGCATTTGCAGGGCATTTCTTCTCCCCTATCCTAACCAAGTCTGCTGTCAGAGACCGGTCTGGCAAATTGCAGTTTGAAAAATGGCAGTTTAGGAAAAAACGGTGCTGAAGGTGCTGAAGTGTCTGATGGTCCTGGCTACACAGGCTGAGGCACTGAGGAGGGGTCAGGTTTTTAGCATGTGCTTGGTAAGCAACTTCTGAAAGTCTTCTCCCTTTTGGTATTTCCAGCTGGGCATCCAAGACTATTAGTTTTGAAAGTCTTTGTTGGGGTCCTTGGAAGGGAAATCACAGAATCACAGAATTACAGAATGGTCAAGGTTGGAAGGGACCTCTGGACATCATCTAGTCCAACTACCCCACCAGAGCAGGGTCACCTACAACAGGTTGCATAGGACAGCGTCCAGGCGGGTTTTGAATGTCTCCAGAATGGGAGACTCCACAACCTCTCTGGGCAGCCTGTTCCAGTGCTCCACCACCCTCAAAATAAAGAAGTTCCTCCTCATGTTAAGATGGAACTTCCTATGTTCAAGTTTATGCCCATTACCCCTCGCCCTATCACTGGGTGCCACTGAAAAAAGACTGTTCCCATCCCCCTGACACCCTCCCTTTGAGTACTTGTAAGCATTAATAAGATCCCCTCTCAGTCTTCCTTTCTGTAGACTAAAGAGACCCAAGTCCCTCAGCCTTTCCTCACATGAGAGATGTTCTAATCCCCTAATCATCTTTGTGGCCCTTTGCTGGACCCTCTCCAGCAGATCCCTGTCTTTCTTGAGCTGGGGAGCCCAGAACTGGACGCAGTACTCCAGATGCGGTCTCACCAGGGCAGAGTAGAGGGGGAGGATGACCTCCCTCGACCTGCTGGCCACACTCTTCTTGATGCACCCCAGGATGCCATTCGCCTTCTTGGCCGCCAGGGCACATTGCTGGCTCATGGTCATCCTGTTGTCCACCAGGACTCGCAGGTCCCTCTCCACAGAGCTGCTCTCCAGTGGGTCAGCCCCCAACCTGTACTGATGCATGGGGTTATTCCTCCCCAGATGCAGTACCCTACACTTACCCTTGTTGAACTTCATAAGGTTTCTCTCTGCCCAACTCTCCAGCCTGTCCAGGTCATGCTGTAATGTTTATGAGGAGACACCGGTGGTGCATTTGCAGCTCTCCATGCCCTTGTGCACATGTTATGTGGGCATAAACATGGTGCAAGGGCAGGATATTTATTTAGATGAGTCTTTTAAAAAGTTTTGGTTAACCTGTGACAGCTAAACCTCACCTCTGAATTCTCTGTAGACAAGGTCAAGCTGTTTCTTTACGGAAGTTGGTGGGAGGCATGTTGTCTCTGCCCATTACTGCCTTCCTGGGTCAGTTTCCACAAAACTCTGTGGTTTGCCTTATTATCCACTTATTCAGGGAACATCCAAAAGTGCAAGACACCACAGAGGTACATGAAGTGATATCAATAGCACTGGGCTCAAATGCTGCTATTTGCCTCAGAGCATGTCAGGTCCTCTGATTGCCTTGTCTCTCTGGTGCCAGAAATGTCTGTGCTGGTCCCCTTCACACCGGGATTTGACAGAACCACATTATCTCTCATGTAGCATCATGTGGACCACTAAAGCTCGGTCTTGCACTGGGTTGATTTTTCAGTGTGCTTGTATGTCAGCTTTTGATAGGAGGCCACATCACTCTGCTTTCATGACTTAAAAACTACTAGGTTATTTGTGTAAAATCAGGGCACTTTGAAAGAGTTAAGAAAGAAAGACTAAAAAATAAAAAATGCCTGAGGGACATCACCCCAGCTGGGAGAGTTTGCAGAGAACTAAAATGTGAGTCGTACAATTCAACAGCAAATTCCAAGGCTCCCACATTGAGCCTAAAAAGCCTACATCTGAACTGGGGAGTCTGCAGTGTAAAAGCCATTTATCCCATAGGCACTGAATTCATACATGTC